TGTTGAGGGTTGTCTGTCACAGAGAGGGCTAACTGTACCAGATCTCAGCTTTGTTTATGATTTTAATGTACCTTCTTTAATTGCCTAAGCATCCCAAATAAGAAAACATTTTCCAGAGTAGTTACCCACCAGCCAGTCAGTCAACTAGCATTTATTAAGCACTGACTATGTGCCAGGCACAGTAGAAAGAGTACTGGACTTACCAGGTAGGGGGTCTAAATTTGAATCTTGATTCCTCTAGTAACTATGTGACCTTGGGCATGTCACTTTCCCTCTGAACCTCCTTAATTTCCTCTTCTAAAACATGAGGAGTTTGGATAACATGATGTCTATGTTGCTTCCTAACTCTAAAGTTCTGTGACATGTGTGAGAGGTTATCCAAGGGACTGGATTTCCCCCAGACAAGAGTTGTTCTAATTTATTTAAGGATGAACCCAGTCTAGAGTTAATTGGCTGGAGAGCCAAGGTAACACTGCTTCACCCCTCCACATCACCTCTTCTCACACCTTTCCCCCCAACACACAGATCAGGCTCAGCAGTACAATGGAAAGAGCAGTCCATCTGGAGCCTGAGGCTTGGGGTTCAAATCCCACCTTTGACACTACCTTTGTGATCCAGGCAAAGTTATTTAACCTCTGTTTGGTATTCAGAGCCCTTTACAACCTGACCCCCTCCTAGTTTTCCAACGTTATTACACTTTACTCATCCCACACACACTTTGATGCCCAGTGACTGGGGCCTCCTTATTTGTAACACACAATACTCCATCTCTTAACTCAGGGCAGTTTCACTGGCTACTGTCCCCCATTCCTGCACTTCTCTTCTTCATCTCTGCCCCTTGTCTTCCTTCTAGCCTTAGCTGAAATCTTGCCTACTACAAGAAACATTTCCCACCCACTCCCATACTAATACCTTCTCTCTGTTGATTATTTCCAATTTATTCTATATATAGCTTATTTATGTAGCCTTTATGTAGTTGTTTGTATCTTGTCAGCCCATTAGACCATGAGCTCCTTGAAAAATAGATGTATTCTGCCTTTATTTGTGTCCCCAGAGCTTAGCACAGTTCCTGGCACATAGGAGGCACTTAATAAATGCTTGCTTACTGCCTGACAACCTCTCTGGGTTCCGGTTTCCTCATCTGTAAAATAAGAGAGTTGAATTATATCATCTTGTAGGTCCCTGGCAGCTCTCCATTAGTGACTTTTGTGATAATTTATACATTTTCTACTTTTCCAAAGGGGTAGAGGAAGTGGGGGAGTGTTTTAGGGAGAAGGGGGCAGTAGGGCCCAAGTCTCCAGGGACTACTTAGTGATCTGGCATCCTGGAAATTTGTGAAGTGTGTGTGTGTGTGTGTGTGTGTGTATGTGTGTGTGGTTGGGTTGGGTTGGCCCACCCTGCAGGAAGGGTATGGGAGAATTTGTGTGTATATTTTGATAAAGGTTTCTCCCTAAAGAAGCAAGCTCTCTGGTTTTGTCTTGAACTTTAGCTTTGGACTATGAAAAGGTTTTGCATAGTCTTGTGGGAACATAAACATTTGGCAGATTTCTTTCCCTGAAAGCTGTTTCTACTTTTTTTTTTTTTTGGTGGGTGAGGGAGACTTTGCCCAGCAAGATTAGGGCCCCCTCTTACAGCCAGGCCTCCCTACCCACCTCTCTCCTCTCAAACAGCAAAACAAAGCTAACTGGAGTGTACTGGGAATCATCTCAAAGCAAACTGGGCCATAAGTAGAAAGGGAAGCAAACAGTTCAGTCCTCCCAAGAGGAGAAATTACAAGGGAGAGAGAATAAGCAAATGGCTTCAGTGGTGAACAGCGAATTCCAGACATTTAAAATTCTTTTGGTTTTAATCATCTCAGAGGCAGGCTAGGAGTGTGGGGGAAGGGAAGAAATGAAAACCAGTACCGTGTCCTAAAAGAAAGAGCCATGATCACAATTTGCATGTCTCCTACACTGTTTGTCCAGAGGGCTCAAAGAGTTTATCATATATAAACTCCCTGGTATGGTATCAATCCATACCCCACCCCCACTCCTTCTAAACTCATCAATTCCCACCCCCCCCTAAGCCTTTCTTGATTAACCCTTTATGATTCCAACCTCTTCTTTCTTCAGTGTTCATCCCCCAGTTTATGAGATCCTTTTTCATTACACTCATTTACATAGGTGTGTCTGTTCATTTTTCCCAATTAGACAGTCAATTTCCCAAGGCTGGGAACCTTATCTTGGAGTTGTCTGCTAAACCTGGCCCCCTTTGCCCCTCTTTGAGCACCCCCAAAGTTGCTCTGAGGATGGTGCTGGCAATGTAAGGGTCTTAACTTGCCAGAACACTCTGAAGGAAGATTCAGGATGTATAAGGGCAGAGAGGTAGAGAGGGATAGAAAAGGAGAGGTCAAGTAGTCTGGGACCCAGAGAGGATGAAAGACTTTGTCCAGGATAATCCAGCAAGACAGAGGCAGAGTTGGGTTAAGGATCATGAGAAGGGGCCTTGGAGCTCATTTTGTCCAATGCCTTCATTTTCTGAATAAGGAAATAGAGGCCCAGGGAGGTTAAGGAACTGGCCATAGACGGCAAAGCCAGGATCTGAATCCAGTCCTGACTCCAAATCCGGTATTCTTTCCGTTGTACAGAGTTTCCCTCCCAATACTCACTCTGCATAGTGATCTGAAACAAAGCTACAACCCTTTTATAAGTGACCCATAGGCTCCTTAATGATAATAAAATAATAACAACTGCCATTTATATAGTACTTTAAAGTTGACAAAGGCCTTTGCACAGACTGTCTAATTTGATCCACACAAGAACCACACAAGGTCAGTACTTCATGTGTTATTATCTCAATTTTCAAATGAGAAAACTGAGGCCCTGAGAGATTAATTGCATTATTAATGATCGTACAGCTAGTTAATTTTCAGAGACAGGTCTTTTCAGATTTTAAGTTTTTAAACTAGGATATCCCTGGTTAGCAATCAGTTACTTAGTCCATTAGTTTTGCTACGCACCCATTCCTGTGCCAGGCAAAGAAGGTAAAGACATCTTCTTAGCTATGGGAGGGCACAGACTATTTTATTTTATTTTTGTCTATTTATACCCATTACCCAACTCAGTTTGACTTATGTAAATGTCCTTAAAAATGCTTGTTGTTTAGTTGATGCTTGCCTACAGGGAGCTTATGCTCTAGTTTTGGAGAAGAGACTGATACACAAAACAGTCAGAAACCAATATAAGAAACTATCCTTAAAGAAGGCAGTGTGGTCTGACAGAGTGCTGGGCCTTGATCTGAGGTCACATCTCACCTCTGTTACTTAGTTGAGTGGCCACAGACTGAGCCTCACCTTCCCCATCTGTAAAATGAGAATGATATGATATATTACCTGTAGCACTTAGCTCAGTGGATTGCTCTGAGGCTCAAATAAGATAATATATGTAAAACACTTTGCAGACTTAAAGTGACATAAACACCAGTTGTTTTATTTTTGAAGTGATAAGTTGTGCGGTATAGACTGTCAACCTCACTACCCTTTCCCCTGCTATTCAGTAAGCATGCTCCCTTTTACCTCCAGGATCAAATATAAAATCCTCTGTTTGGCTTTTAAAGCCCTTCTTAACCCACCCCCTTCCTACCTTTTCAATCTTTTTACTCCCCTTCAATAACTCTGGCAACCAGTGGCCCCCTGGCTATTTCTCCCACTAGATACTCTATCTCCTGACTCTGCATTTTCATTGACTGTCCCCCTCCCGCAGCCAAGGCAGGAATTTTCTCCCATCTAATTTCTACCTTCTGGTCACTGAGCTTTCCAGGCACAGCTCAAGTCCCACCTTCTACAGGAAGCCTTTCCTAATCGTTCTTAATATTAATTGTTGTTGTTCAATTGTGTCCCACTCTTCTTGGCAAAGATACTGGAGCACTTTCCCATTTTCTTCTCCAGGTCATTTTACAGATGAGGAAACTGAGGCCAGCAGTGTTAGTTGACTTGCTTAGGGTCACACAGCTAGTAAGTGTTTGAGGTCAGCTTTTTTTTTTTCCTTTTTACGATTATTTTTATTTTTAAGCATTTTTACACCAAGGACATTGGGAGCTAATTGAAATCAGTTGCCAGTCTGCTCCCCCAAGGAGGGGGTATACTTCCTGATAGAGAAGGCATAGAAGGCAACAGAATGGAGTGGAAAGAACACTGAGCTTGCAGCCAGAAACTGCGGGTTCCACACAATTGCTGTGTGGCCTTCTACATAAAGCCTTGGTTTCCGCATTTGTAAAATGAGGGGGCTAGATGAGGTGATCTCTGAAACCTCTTCCAGCTCTCATATTTTGAAGCCATTTTTGAACTCAGGAAGATGAGCCTTCCTGACTCCAGGCCTGGTGCACTATCTACTACACCATCTACCTGCCCTTTAATGTTAGTGCTTTCCCTCTAGCATTATCTCCAATTTATCCTAACAACAACAACCACAACAAGAAAACAACAGCAAAAATAGATTGTTTGTACTTAATTGTTTCCATGTTGTCTTGACCATTAGACTACCAGCTCCTTGAGAGGATGGGATGTTTTCTGCTTTTATTTGTATCCTCAGTGTTTAGCACATAGCCTGGCATATAATAGGTACTTAATAAAGGCTTCTCAGCTTGATTTGACTGTAAGGTTGTTGGAAAGGGAGATTCAATATCATTTATTCAATAGTACCTATAGTCAAAGTACTGAATTGGACTCTGTGGGGGATCCAAAGTCGAGTTATACAAATGTTCTGCCCCCAGGGAGCTTCCAGTCTGGTAAAGGAGACATGTAGACATATAAATTCAAGATAAAGTTAAGTATAGGCAGCTAGGTGGCACTGTGGATAGAGCTCCAGGCCTGGAGCTGGAAGACTCATCTTCCTGAGTTCAAATGTGTCCTCAGAATGGTAGGATTTTTTTTTTTTTTACAAAAACATTGGGTCCCTACTGGATAGAATAGATGGCTAAAGGAATCCATATTGATGGATAGGTGTTCCTACTAGGGGGAGCACCTTTGATTTCAAGTTGATGGGATCAATGTGGGGCATGGGGCAAAGTTCCCGAGAACTTATAAATGAACTAATTTGGCTGAAGTGTGGAGTATACAAAGGAGAAATCCTTGCTCAATTATGACTACTGCCACTGCTGCTGCTTTGTTTCCTTGGGTAAATTCACTTAACTTCTCTTGGTTCCAGCTTTCCGTTGGTAAAATAAAGTTGGATGAGATAAAGTTCCTTCCAGCTCTAAATCTGTGTTCCTGTGATCAGATTTGAAAAGATAGTTTAGTATTGGATTATCGAGGCCTTGAATGCCAGGTAAGAAATTTCTATTTTATTTACCCAGTAGAGAGGGGTCATGATGGCTTTTGAGTGGGGGAGCGAAATGATCATATAATCATATGTATCACATAATCAATGTATTAGGAAGATAAATTTCGCTGCCATATGAAAGATGAATTTGAGAGGGTTGGGGAAACAGGGAGAGAGAAGATTAGTAAGGGTTGGAGTAGTCCAAAGAGGAAAGACTTTATTTTAGAGGTAGGCTTGAATTGGGCCTTAACTCAGTTGACAATTGTTTGAAGGACTAAACCAAGAGAGTATGATAAGATTTCCCCAAGGAACATTGGGGCATTCTACACACAGTCTGGGGGAACTGGCACCTTTCCAACTTTACCCAGGCCATAGGGTATATAGAAGGGGTTTAGGGACCACCAATTGTCTGAACCATTGGACTGTTACTCCTCTGTCTTGAACTTTCTTTCAGTTCCTTTACCCCAAGGTTGGTGAGGCCTTACTTTCTTTCCCTCCATTCTTTCCCTCTGGCTTTTCTTGGCTAGTTTTCCCCTTGACCAGCTTTTCTTAGCTATGAGGTGAGGGAGGGAGCCTGAAATCTTCTAAGCAGAGATAAGGGGATAAGTGGAAAGACCCAGAGCTCTTTAGCTGAGGAGGTAAGAGACACAAGGAGCTCAGGAAGGAAGCAGGAGGGGGTGAGTAAGAGAGAGTTAGTTCAATCATGAAAAATCATGCCCCAGAAGCCTCTTTTGCTTCATGTGGGTACCCTCCCCTTGACCTTCCTCTCCTTCTTCTTCCTTCTCTGCTTATGTCTCTGCTTTCTTATGCCTTTTACTCACGATTTCCTTACCAACCCATAACCTCTGTCTTTGCCCTCCTCATCTGCTTTGCAACCCTTCTCTTTTACTCAACCTCCAGCTAGCTGCCCCTCCATTTCCCACATGCCCTACAATAATATAATAATAATAATAATAATAATAATAATAATAATAATAATAACAACTCACATCTATACACATTTTACCGTTTAGGAAACACGTCTTACTGTTTTCTGATGTTTCTCAAAATGTTACAATTCACAAAGTCCATCTCCATCCCCATCCCCCACCTCCACTCCCAATAGAAAAAGAGTTTTGGAGCCAAAAGAAACCTTAGAGAAAGAGTCAGGAGACTTGGATTCCAGTCCCAGCAAACCTTTTAACTCTGAGCCTCAATGACTTCATAGGCAAAACAAAGGGACCGGGGTAAATGATGTCTCCTAGTTTCTTTTCACACTCATTTAGTACTCGGTATAATAACAACTCCTCGCTTTGTGGGGTTTGGAGAGAATAAGTGACTTGTCTATAGTCATAGAGCCAGTTAGTGGCAAAACCAAGAGCAGAATCTAGGTCTTCTGAGTTACCATCTTGTGTTCCTGCCTGCTACCTGTGAGACCCTGGGCATGTTACTTAACTGGGCCTCAGTTTCTCTAGTTTACAAAATGAGAGTAATGGACTACATGGCCTCGGAGGTCCCTTCCGCCTCTAAATCTATGAGCCCTATGGTCTCTTTTTGCTCTGTTAAATCATTCTCTCTACTCCTACCAAAAGGGGGGGAAAAGTGTTGGGGTTTTTTTTTCATGATTCTGAGAAGGTAGGAGTAATATGGTAGTAACATATGTTCTTTGTCCTACTTTAGAGGTTGTAAGGTTTTTATCTTTGTCTCATCTTTTCTATCCAAAGTTGATTCTGGAGATGAGGGAGGAGAATTAGGAGCTGAGCAAATGAAAACAATGAAGGCAGGGGTCAGTATGGAGATACATGGGGGAAAGGAACCATCCTTGATTAGGAAGATTCAATGATAGTGGATGTTACAATGAAAAAAACAGGAGGCTGACAGCTAGGAAATGTGGTTCTAGTCCAAATTCTGCTACTAACTCAATGTGTGAATTTGGGTGAGGTGAGTAATTTGAACTGGGGGCGGGGGGGGGAGGGGAGAGGGAGAGTATTATTAGAGATCATTTATTGATGATCTCTAACAATTTTGATTCTATGACAGCATTCCAGGAAGGATGTGCTGCTCCACTGTCTCTGATGTAATAATAGCTGATATTTAGATAAAGTTTACAAAGCGCTTGATAGACACTATTTCATTTGATCCTCACAACAACCCCTATATCAGGTAGGTACTACAGGTTAATCTGTATTTTACAGATGAGGAAATTGAGACTTAGAGAGGTTGACTGATGGGCTTGCAATCATATAACTAATAAAAATGGGAACTGGGATATGAACTCAGATATTACTCCAAATTCAACACTGGAGCCTTGATGTCTACCCTGTTATTCTAGGACACGGGACAAACTTTTCCAGTGGTTCTGGCCTATGCTGCTTCCTTCCTTCCATGCCACTGGCAATTTAAAAAAAAAAGTCAGGATCTTTCCTGGCTACCTGGAAACTGGGGGAAGAGGAGGGAAGGTGAAACCATTACAAAATCATAGAATATTCATCAATCAGTCGATAATCGTGTATTAAGCAGTTACAATGTGCCAGGCACTGTGTCAGGTGTTGGGGATGCCAATACAAAGAATGGAACAATTCTTACTCTCAAGGAGCTTACAGTCTAACAGAGAACAAAAACCACACAGTGATAAAGCTGTAAGGGACCTTAGAGGCTTAAAGATCATTTAGAGGGAAGAAACTGAGGCTCAGAAAAGGAAAGTGATTTGCCCAAGGTCACATAGTGAGTAGTAGTCAGGACTTCAACTCAGAGTCCAACCCCAATCCTACTTGGAAATCATTGTTGGCCCCCCCCCCAGTCTTTTCCTCCCCCATTTCCCCTTTACCCTAAAGACTTCAAAGCACATTACAGAGCATCACTCCTCCTTTCTGATAGGTGTGTGGGGGTTCAGTGGGGGGTGGATAGATGATAAATTGGCTCTCAGTTTTATTGATGGAAGGGGGGTAAATACCTATAGAGAATATTAGAGATATAACCACCAAATCCTGCTCCTTCTTGGAATAAAGACAGATCCCCTCCTCACACCGACACATACACACATTCACTCCATGAACCCCTCCTACTGTGGCCCCCCGCTGGTGCTGTCATAGCAACCAGGGGATTAGGACCAGCTTGGAAACCCAAAGATTTGAGGAGGGGGTTTGCTAGAGAGGCAGGTGGAAGGCGGAAATGAACAAGGAGGAGCGGGAAAATGATAAAGGGATGGGGGAAGGGAGGGGAAAGAGGAAAGCAAGGAGAAAGGGGATGCAAGAGGAGGAAAAGGAAGAAGAGGGGGAGGGAAGGGAGAAAGAGAGATAGCGAGAGGAAGGTAAAGAGAATAGGGATGGATAAAAGAGAGATCTCAGTCAGAGAGGGAGAAAGGAGAGGGGAGGAAGAGGAGAAAGAGGAGGATGGGGAGAGAGAGAGAGGGAGGGGGAGAAAGAGAGAGAGAGGGAGAGAGAGAGAGAGAGAGAGAGAGAGAGAGAGAGAGAGAGAGAGAGAGAGAGAGAGAGAGAGAGAGAGATCCTCAACTTTTATTTAAAATCAGAGAGCAGTTGTATGCCTGGAGTCGTTACTATGGCAACGGCAAAGAAAAGGAGATAGAGAGAGAGTGTAAGGCCGTGAAAACCCAATAGGGGTAAATGTTTAAAGCCAGGAACAAAAACCATTCAGAGATAATTAAGTAACAGACAGCAGGTTCTAGACTCCTTCTGATTGTCAGGGGACCTGCCCCCACATTCCAGCCTGCTGCTTGTACCTCTCTCCCCACTCCTACCTTTTGCCTTCTTCCTTCTCCTCCTAAAGAGGCCTTCAAAGTAGTGGGGAATGAACACTGACCCTCCTCCCAATTTCTTCAAGCTGGGGCCTGGCTTTCTAACACTGCTTGTCTTTGGCTTTTAAGAAAAGATGTGTTGTTTCAGGGTGGGGTTGGGGATGAAAATTTGGAAATGAAAGTAAAATAAAATTGAATTAAATGAATAAAAGGTGTGACTTTGCAGCAAGAGGTGCTTAGGTCAGAGAAAAAGAAGAACTTTCTGACCTTGAGTTTTTAGATGGAAGACTGAGAAAGGTAGTAAAATTTCCTCCACACCAGGGATCATTAAGGAATAATAGATAGGCATTATGCTTGGTTGAGTTTGGATAAATCCAAGGTTTCCTTGAAATAAATGTGAGCTTGGAAAAGGTAAAACTCTTCTTCTAAAAATGGAAATTGCTGTAGTTCTGTGAGACTCAGAGTGGCAAAATATGTGGTGATGATGATGATGATGATGATGATGATGACTATGACAACAATAATAACACACCCATAAAAGGATAGGGTTTTGGAGCTAGAGACTCCTCTGCTGCTAACCAGCTGTGTGACCTTGACAGAGTCATTTCCCTTCCCTTGGCCTCAGTTTCTTGACCTGCAAAAATAGAGTTGGACTAGATGATCTTTAAAATACCTTCCAGCTCGATTCTATTCTGCTTAGCCAAGGGATCTGCCATTTCAGACTTCTCTATGGCATATCCCTTGGCCTCTAGTGACTTAGCTCTCACCAAGCCTCATATAAAATATAGCCAGAAGTTGAGACCAGATTGTAGAAGCTGGGAGTATTCTCTGGAATCAGAAAAGTAGAATTATCCTTCATCTGAGACTCAGAGCCAATAGTTCCACTCTCCTCCAGGACATTTGAAGAGTGCCCCTATTTCCCTCAATTGCTATCTCCTCAGGGAAATAGTCTTTTGGACTCTGCCTCTTCTAGCCTCCAAATTCCTTCTCAGAAGTCTTGATTGCCCTAGAGCGTGGTGATATATCTTTCCTCCAATCATCTCTGGGTGTAGCCTTCAACTGAGAGTTAGGGTAGCCAAGTTGGAATAATACCACTACTAAGTTTACAATTAACCAAGCACTTTCTTTGATGTGCACAGTAGAAATGCTGTTATTCCCATTTTGCAGACTAAGAAGATGTCAGTTTACTTGCCCAAGGTCACACGCTGTCAAAGTGGAGACTCAAACAACATATCTTCTACAGTGAAATCCAAGATCTTTTTGCTAGACAGTA